CTTGCGGCCAAAACTTCAAGCTCGGGGCAGGTGTTGACTTGGGTTCGGTCAGCCTCAGTGGAGGACGTCGGGATCGACGTTGTCTCCTGCAAACACGAGAACATGCACTGTTGTTTCTCATGAAAAACACATCTCAACCAATGTTCCACGAAGGTTGGTGTGTATTCAGCACACCGGGCACTCAACGACATGCCACAACTCTGACCCGCGATCAAACGATGCTCGGCATGTCCTGGGCAGGTGACAGCTTTGTCAACCATGTCACGGTGTGACACTGCAAGTCCAGTCGGCTTCTTGATAGGAAGACCAGTTTGTGGATCCTTGAGGTCATAGGCACACATGTCATTCCGAGTCAGTGTGAGCTGCTGTGCCCTGAGAAGCTTCCGAAGTGGCTCGAACTGCCACAGGTCACTGTTCCAGGGATGCTCAACCAGCACTCTACCACCTCGACGGAGTTGCTTCTTGATCTGATCAACACAAAATTGTGCTTGCTTCTTTGCCTGTTGTTTGTTGGCCAACTGCTGTAGGAGTGGGAGACGATGTTGATTCAATCTGTACCATCCACCCCAATGTTTGCATTCTGGGCAACAGACCAACAGCTCTGGTTGAAGGTGTTCCAGCTCCTCATCCACAACTCGCTGAACTTTGGGATCCGTGAGATCCCAACCTTGCTTGATGTCGTAGGACCGGCCACTGGCGCCCCACTGCCGTGCCTTCTCAGCAAAACGTGGGGGCGAGAAGAGCTCTGCCACCTTGCATTGACTACGCTCCTTCTTCCAGGCATGTTGCTGAGCCAAGAGACAGCGATGTTCCCTTTGGCTGAACTCAGCCACCCTCTCATGAGATGCGAGGTGGATGGTCTCTTCCTCCACGGCCAACGTCTCGGAGGGCTCGGGGGACAAGTTGTTGGCTCCCTCATTTTCTTCCGGCTCGGATGGTTGTGATGTCTCACACGACGCCAACATCACCTCAGCTTGGTCATCGAGCACGTTGAGGACATATTGTCCAGCTGAGTTCACCTGAAGAGGACGTGCTGTGCCTCCTTGGATCGATAGAGTCTCACCCTCAAAGTCCAGGATGGCCTTGAGGCTCTTGAGTGTGCTTCTGCTCAACAACAGGGGAGCAGCCCCCTTGATGATCGCAGCTTCGACTCTGCCAATCCTGCCATGGATGCACACAGGCATTGATACCACTCGTTCGGACAACTCTTCGTGTCCATTGCCGAACTTGAAAAGGTTGCGCTGATGCCTAGCATCTGGCACCATGAGACCTCGGGCTTGGTACAAGCGCATGAACTGGTTCAGGGTGTCCTGTCCTACCAGGGTTCGACTGCATCCGGAATCAAGGATGCCGTAGCCCGGCGATGAGACAAGCAGCACTTCTGACGGAGTTTGAGCCAGAGTGACTCGGTCCGTCACCATCGCTGCACCGTGGGATTCACCAGTTTTGGAACTTGATGAGCTTGCTGCCACCTTGGCGGTGCAATTGCGAGCCCAGTGCCCAATTTGATGACATCGGCGACACCGTGATCGCTTTTCCAGGTCTTTGACTTCCTTGCCAAAACGTTGCTTCACCTCGAAAGCCTGACTGAAGCGTCTTGCTTTCTGTAGGCGTGAGATTTCTGTTCTTTTCTCCTTCCAAGTGGCGGCCAGAACTTCGGCAATTTCTTCTTCATCATAATGATCGGCTGATTGGGCGTTTGTATCACCCATGCCGTGTTCGGCCAGGAAAGCCTCTAGTTCCTCGAAAGCCACTGCATCTGGTGCTTCGGTCTCTCCAGGTTCATCTATCACGTCATTGGGCTCGTCCTGAACCACGAAAGCAGAGGCACTTTTGAACCTGGTGGAACGAGTTGCACGAAAATCCGGAAAACAGCTGCGCATGGCTGTGATGATCAACTCCAGTTTGAGCTCTCCTTGGGTCTTGGCGGTGATGATCGCCCGTTGATCCTCACTCAAACCTGAGGCGTGCAAACAAATCCAACCTTTTGCTTCACTTGGGAACTCGATGGCGACCTTCCGGCGACACTTGGAGAAGGTCTCTTGGACTCTGCTAGTCCATGCAGCCATTGTCTCTTGATCTTGTGCTTGAAGCTGGAATATTTCCTTTAGGCATTCAGCGAGCCAATCGTGCTTGAGCTTATCCGGAAAACGCTCGTCCAGGGCAGCCCAAACATATTTGTCTCCATTCTCTTCCTTCAGTTTGTCCAGCGACAAGTGCTCGACCGTTTCGAATGCGACCCCATCCAACAAACACAGAGTGAACGGCCCACGTTGGGCCGCAGTCATGTCCTTGGTGGATGCCATCTTTGCTTCAGCCCAGAGTTTCCAGCGCCGGTATTCCTTAGGATCCAACGACTCTCCACTGAACCGGCGGGTGTTGCCGTATTGAGCACCCTCGGTTGCCATGGCTGCAAATTAAACAATTAGGGACACTGCGTAGCGTCTCAAACCAACCTAGGTTACGCTAGAAGGACCCCGGATGCCCCGCCCTGTGGCGGGGCTCCGCTACCAATTAGAAAACCCGGGCCGATTGGCCCCACGACTCTCCTGAGTCAAAACGCGCGGCCGCTCGGACCTTTTCCGACCTCGGACCGAGTTGCCTGCAAGGGTCAGGATGCACGAACGAATGCTGGATGAGGGACACTGCATTTTCATATATATATATATATGGGTTGGTCTCAGATGATTGTCTCCAAACAAAAAAGGCTAATTACACTGGCCAGAACAAACCACTGGGCGATTTCTCACAATCTTTCAAAGTCGTCGACATCGCCATTCAATCCCAGGTCAACCCCCTTACTCGTAGGTTCACCTGCTGGGGATCAGAGAGAGGGCAGTGGGGTAGATCTTCCTCCAAAAAGGTCCGAAAAAGAAGGAATGGGCCAACGTGCTGAAGGAAGAAACATGAAGAAGTCTGCCACTTCTGAGATTCAGGTGGTCAACACCACGAACTTCCCTATGTGGGAGCCCCTCACGATGGTTTTCACAAGATTGGCCGCTGGTCAAACGGCTTGATAGGGAGGTCTGAAACATGGGGGAAGCAAACCCATCACGACGTCCGAAATTTCGTTGGCCTGGCTGGGGGGTACAGTGGACAATGTGGAAAAAAAAAAATCATTCTTTTCCGTACCTCCTTGGATCCCCCTATGGATCCCGATCTTACAAGCCAAACACAGACCGGTCCGCAGCGCCCCCAGCCGCGACCTCGCATTCCACGTCGCATTCCGTGGCAGACAGCTCCTGGTCGCGGCTTTCACGTCGCTCACCAGTCGCGTCTCGCGTCACCGCTTCCCTTCTCCACCTTCTCACCGTGTTCCCATGCGCGACCATGCGGAACGCGTGGAACCCGCACGTGTTCCGCGTGTTGTTCGCGGTGAACCCGCTCCTGGATTTTGGCCTGGTGGTTATGGACCTGGCCCATGAATGAAAAAAAGCGAAAAGAAAGTTGTCGTTTTTTTTCGCCCCTTTCGGCTTGTCTTTTGGCCTCGTGTTTTTGGCCAAACAGACACTCGGCTCGTTTTCGGTCGGAGGAGCCGTGGAACATTGGGTGGAAGATATCCGAGCGAAACGAGTAGCTATAGGCTATAGAAGCTACTAGTCACGAGTGCATGGCTAGTAGCTATAGAAGTTCTAGAAGCTACATGAAGCTACTAACTAAGGGCATTACGACCAGTAGCAAGTGCATCGCTACTAGTAACACCAAATGTGAGGTGAATCGCACCTCTTTTGATTGAAACCCATAGGACCTTCCCAGTGACCTTTTCACTGTCACTGGGAAGGTCCTCACCCATGGATTTCAATCAAAATAGGTGCGATTCACCTCATGAATTGCGTCAGAGAGGATGGAACCGTACTGTTTTTCATCAGCTCTGGCAAAAAAGAATAAAGAAACAAGAACTCGGTCTATCAACACACACGAACTCGACCAGTCGCCACGACGTGGCGACTCCGCCGTCGCCTTCTCCAGGATGTCGTCGCGGCCCGCCGCCCGGAGTCGGTACTCCGAAAACCAATCGTACAACCTGGGGGATGATGAGAGAGAGAGAGGATATCGGAAGAAGAAGCATCACGCGATGTGTACTGCGATGTATTGTTCGAAGGTGCTTTTCAGGAAAAGAAGATTGACAAAACATGACAAAAAGACATCACACCCCACGCAAAAGTCTCAAAGTGCCTTGTCTCAAAGTGGTCTGTTTGGTCTTTTCTCGGTCGCTTCTGAAGGGTGCATTCGGCCTTACAGTAGAACATCGATGGACATCGAGCAGTGCCGAGTACTCGGTGCCGGGGGCTTTCTTCTCGCGCAGCCGCAAGCCTCAATCCTGGAGTCCTCAGGTCCGCGCCAATCAAAAAACTCGCCGACCAGAGGCAAGGTCGTGATCTCGTACACCTGGCAGAGGGTCCACCCCTCCTCCGGCCGACGGCCCCGAAACATGGCCGAACAGGTCTTCCGAGCGGAGCACTGGTCATCAGGTCATCAGGTCCGCGACAGCTCAGGCATCGGGAGATGGGCCCCAAAGGTGACCCCCCCTGGCACCGAGGGTCAATAGACCAAAAAAACATTCTGCCAGCACCTACTAAGGGACCTCCAAACAGGACACCCCGCTGCAGGTCCTGGTAGTTGGGGGATGTTGGGGGGTCTCCCGACGTCAAACGAAGCAGAAACCATGGGAATCCACCACACGGCCACAACCTGATGTCTCACCATGTCAACACCCATCTCTTCCACGCCATGTGTCTGTGTTAACCACATCTGGCTGCCTGCAGCCATTTTCCGCTCTCTCGCGTGAGCTTGGCTGGTCTTTCGCATTAACTGATGATGATGATAAACATCCCTATACAACTCATGCTGAGCTGATGGCGTAGACACCATGCTTGCTATTGTTTGCTCGTGTCTCACTGACAAAGAAACTTGGGGGCACGTCAGACTGTGATGCTCTGCATCTCTTCTGCTCCAAATGCGCAGTGTCTGGCACAGTGAAACTGCTCCAAATCGCTCCCTCAAAGTTCGACTCCTCTGGCTCTCGCCTGCCGCATGTTTTTTGGAATCCCCCCGGCCAGCTGGTGCAGCGGCATTGAGCCCTTCCATGCCTTTCCCAAAAAGCATACGATGGGACTCCTTGATCAAGATTGAGACACAAAGAGTCTGTCTGAAACTCTTGGAACCTTCATGCATCTCCATGGATCGTTTGGTTCCTGTAATTCTCCTCTTTGATGTGGGCTGAACTATGCTTTCACCACTCTCCAATGCCCAAAAGCACCCAAACTTCAACAAAACTTCGGCCTCAAACCCTCCAAACTTCTCCATATTGTCACTTCATTGCACGCACGCACATACACTCACCGTGGAGCTCCACGTCAAACGAGCTGGCCTCTTCAAGCTCGCGCGCCTCACGTAGGTCCTCGAGATAGGCCTCGAGCCAAGAGCGATCGCGCAGCGCGCCGTGGAGGACCCAAGAGATTTTTAAGCCGGATGGAACGATGGATGATCTTTGGGTGTATAGACAAGATGGCCGTCTGACATGTGAGAGCGTGGTGGGATTGGGGAATGTGACAGAGGATGTTTGCTATACTGCACATATACTTAGATCATCTTAGATCTTCCAACTGTGCGACAATCATCTGCCTTTTCATCGGCTTAAAACCACCAGTAAAACCAACCAAAAAGGCAAACATGTTGCATAATAAGTTGGAAGATCCAGGTACATGACTTGCCATCATGTTTGGTCGATGGTTCCATCTAGTTCCCATTCATTGCGTGGGTCTGCGACGGGCTGTGTGTCTCAAGGATGGTGTCCACATCCAAGTCGGCTTGCCCGCCATCGGGGTCATTCTCAACATGCGACACTCCCCCAAACCATACCGCACGTACCCGCAACCATGAAAATACCGATGTTCGCCTAATCCCACAGCGGGATCACAGGGGATTGCGGCTCTTTCACTACTTTTCACTCGCATGCTGCTGAGGAAGACATTGAGGTTCGGCCTCCTACAGACGTCGATACCGGACTGAGGCGCCCGGCCCAGGAGAGCACCGAAACGATGAAGATGAGAAGAATTAGGCCGCAAATCAACCTGAAAAAAGAACTCAGAACCACAGTTACAAACTGTCTCCATCTTGACCTAAGCTATTTTCAGAGTTTGTCACAGTTGGTCTAGAGCTCCAGAGCTCCAGATTCCTTTTCTCTCTCGCCACTCAGTGACGCCTTTTGTCTACCTTTTCAACTGAAACCCTGCCATGGCGAGCTTCCAACAGAAAAAAAACGCCTATACCAACATGCACCTACAACCTCCTACAAACCCCAAGAAGAAAAACCAACGGTTCTATACGTTCCCATCATCTCCTTCCATTTCCATCACCGGGGCGGCCGCACCCCCAGGCATCGGACCACCTGGCGGCGTTTGACCGCGAGGCTGGCGACGAGGCGACAGCAACCGACCTCACGGCGGGCCTAACTCAAAATGTCCAGTTTGCACTTGCCTAGGTTATTGAATGCGCGATGCCTAGGCATGTGATTGATCACCGCAGCATTTGCGGCTGCAAAGCCCTGAAGAGTCCCAAGGGGGACGAAAGCTAGGCATTTAATACCTTGCTGCAGTCGTAGAAAAGCTGCGTTGGGCTTGAGCGACCTGTTCTAAAGTTGACCTCACGGCGGGCCTAAAGGGCTCGTCCACAAAGGTGTCATCCTGCTCGTAGGCATCGTACCGATATGGCGCCTGACGAGTCTGACGAGCGCAGAACACGGAGAATTCACTTCACGCGGGCTCTGTCGGTCTGTTTTTTTGGTGGGCCCTGTGGGCAAGTCTGAGGACGCCACAGGTCTGCGCAAGTCCTTCCTACAAAAAGCATGGAAGGACGGCACACCGGGCATTGCCAAGGAAGCTCCACAATAAGGTCCACTGTCATCACAGCCTTTCCATACCTTTTCCTCTCTTCCTCAACCTCTTTCCCGAAAAAGCCCAGCACCCGCGGATGTCACGGATCAGGATGGATGGATCCGTGACAACGTCCTCGAATCAATCCTGGAGGCCAAGGGTGGTTTCATGGATCGGCTGCCACCTCAGGCCAATTGAAGCGAAGGAGCCAAGAGGAGGTGTTCATGAGGCAGGGACGCAGGGTGGGTTGGGTGGTTTGGATGCAGCGGAGTGAGGGTAGTCTGGGGCCCTATAGGGGTCCTCTAGGGTGCAGTTCATGGCAGCCAGTTCATGCAATATATGCGTGATATACTGACTGCGACAATATGTGTGTTCACAGTGTTCACTAGCCAGGCAAAGAAAGAAAAAAAAACGGATCAGAGATGATCTTGATATCAACTTGATGTCACATTCACCCGCTCGAACCTCACCATGCCCTTCTCACACGCCCTTCACCCGCCCTTCTCGCCCGAACGAAACCACGCCCGAAGCTTCGCCATGCATCGCCACAGCTCCCACCGCACGGTCGATTCCTCCCAGCGCTGAGAGCCTCACTGCTGGCACCTTCAGGTCGACGTAATCTCACCCTGGAGTCGGAGTTTTTTTACCGTCGCACGACCGGACGAACGAGGCACGAGCGAGGATCGAAGCGTCGGAGCCATGGAACGGTGGAATGGAGCTGGTCTGTGGTGGATCAGGTCGCTGGTCTGTGGTGGTCGCGCGGAACGGAAGGGAGCGGAGAAAGGGAGCGAAAGCACCAGCTGAGCGCCGAACGAAGCTTCCTCCTGAGCTTGGGCGATCCGGTGTTTTGGTGGTCCGAGCCGGATCAGGAACTTGACCCAAAGGTGTAGGTGGGACCGAGCACCAAAACTGCCAAGTGGGACCGGGGCGAATGCAGGATGCTGCCACGTGCGCAAAGATCTGAGTTACCAGTAGTTGACACTTCACACCGAAATACGAAAGAAAGAAATAAAGAAAGAAAGAAAGAAAGTTGAGAGAGAGATAGAGAGAGAGAGAGAGCGAGATCCCCAATCATCACGTTTTTCTCGGCGCAAGTCTGCACTATACAGAAAGACGTCGTGATAATCCACTCCATCCACTTCGATGTTTAGGCTTGGAAGACTCCAGGATGTCTTCCGGAGTCTTCCCCCGTATTTCTCCATATATCCCCATATATTCGATCCGATTTTTAGCTCTAGAGATGTTTGCAATGTAGTGTTCTCCGTCGATGTCAACTCCTTCCAACTGTTCTGTGACTCCAACTCACTAAGTCCACCATCGTCAACATCGTCTGTGCGCACGGAGACGCACGACACGGACCGACGGAGAGACCCACGGAGACGCACGACACAGACCGACATGGTTTTTGCCAGAACGTCCGTGACTTGACTCATGAACTACCCCACCTGGACGTCATAAATCCACCACTGCCCAGTTCGGGGTAGTGGCTGAGTCATGAGTCATGACTGGTTCGGTCTCCTGTTCGAGCTCCACTCGCTCGTCACCCTCCTCCGCCGGGTTTTTCAGCGGAATCGATGACATATCCTGGCCCGCTTGGGAAGGTGTATCGGGCATATATGATGGCATGCCGTTGTGTCATGCATGTACAGTAGGCAAGAATGAGGCCGTTTCACACAAAGCCTGGACCTGAAAAGCTCTGCAGGAGTTGGATATGGGTCTTTCATGGCGCCCAGTCTGAAGCCAGACTGAAACAACGACGGCAGGGTCCCCGCACCGGACCGGAGAGATCAGTGATCAGTACCCCAGTACATCAATTAAGACCTCCCAACAAATCGGGATCGTGCCTCATTGTGTTCTTCAGTTTCACGTCTGAACGATGTTAAAAGACCTCAGCCAGCCCCTTGAATAGCTTGGAGGCCAAAGCCACATTGAAAGGCCCATCATCGCTTCCAACCCGGTCGAAGATATGTGTGTTCCTTCCAACCCAAACCCCCCCCGGTGCCTCCACGAGACTACCCAAGTCCGTCTCATCGTAGTCGTGGGCCATGGGACCCAATGTGCTCCTCCCGATGGTCTTCCGCGACAGAGACCCGACCCCTCTGTCGTCGAACACATCCGTGGGGGAAAACATGGGAAAACACAGCATATATACCCATGTCATGTGATGTTCGTCATCATGTTCATCATGTTCATTGTTTGTTCATTGTTTGATGATCATGAGATCTTCGTTCCCCGTGACTCATTCCATCTTCTTCATAGCTCGAACCGCTCTGCATCCCAACCCCATCCCAACCGGACCGGCCGTGCTGCCGGCGCGGTCGCCCACGAAACCGGAGCCCTTCGAGCCGAGAATGGAGCTGCAAGCGTGGACGGTCGCCGAGGCAGACGAGGCACCCGACTAGATTGGTTCAGATTTCCCACCCAACCATTGATTAATTCAATAGCCTCAATCCCAAACAGCTATTGTTTTCTAAGGATGTTTCATTACAAAAGCCGGTGCCAGGATCCGCCAAATGTGGTTGCTTTACAGGTTCGTGGCTTACCAGAAGACTTGGTGGCAACCACGAGAAGCCGAACAAGCCAGGAAGACCCATTGCATTCCGACAATGCTGTAGATTCTTCGGAATACATCCATGCCAGCAATGACCTGCAGCTGCGAAGCTTCGCCAAGCAAGCCAAGCTTGGAGTGCAAGGTTGGAGCCCCTTGTCAAATTCTCAGCAATTCTTAGTCTCAATCTCAGCGTCTGAGCTACAGGCCTCTCCATCACGCGTCACAGCATGAATGTGTCGCATGCCATCCTGACCAGCTCAAGCTAGTCAGGCAGTCGGGTATGATTTTTGGGGGGGTCAATCTTCACAAAGAGTTCCAGTTGTGTCAGTACGACAGCTCCAGTCAGGTGTCAAGGGTTCAATCACGTTCTGAGAAAATCTTGCTTCCTCAGAGTGACTTGGAAATTTCGTACAGAGATAGAGCTGTCGCTCAACATCCTTCAACCAAAAAAGGGGCAAGGTGGAGCACTTAGTGGCTGAGCGCAGCTTGTGACTAATTTGTCATTCTAGAAGCAGTGCTTCCCGAGAGATCCACCTGGAAGATGAAACTTAGACAAGCTGCAGCTCAGTTGGTGTGTCTCCACATGTTTGGATGAGGCACCCAAATGGTCTACATATACCTGGATCTTCCAACTATGCAAAAACTTGAGCATGGCTGCTTCTATTCTTTGTTGAAAACACCCAACAGTTTGTGCAGTTGGAAGATCTATAGGTATACCAGTACACCACATACATGGCCCCATCAACTGCCCAACAAACAGGACCACAAAATTAAAGATGAATGGATCGTCCATCCCTCTTTCGACCACTACCAAGGTCCCATGCAGCACGGCTTGGATTTGGTCCAGGAAGCCGGGACAATTCAAGAACAACGAGTCCCCATGCTAATGAAGGGATTCACCATGATCCAAACAATCCACAGCATCTTTGACAGGGATGAGATTACGTCCCAAGACATCGGCCAATTGGTTCGGTGGGGCGAAAGGAAAGCGTGGCCAACGTGTCAAGACCTCCCGCCCCTTTTCCCCCTCCGCTCCGCTCCGCTCTGCTCCGTGTGTCCGGTCCTCACCCCGAAAAGCGGTGTCCGGCCCTCGTTCCGTTCGGCGCATCGGTCCCTGCCGAGTCCCGGCCTCAAAGATGACTCCACCACAGAGAGCTGGATCATAGTCTGCGGACAGAACTGGGAGAGTCAAGAAGGGAATCTGCCACAGAGGTCTATTTGATTCTATTTGGTGGTTCCTTTTTTTTGGAGCTGTGGTTTCAGAAGAGGCCCGTTCCTTCCGAATCAAAGGGTCGTGCCACCGGATGGAATTCCATTCTTAGACTGGAATTAAGAGGGGGGTAGTGTCAGCATCTTCCAAGTTACAGCTACCGCAGCTACTATCAACAACTTAGAAAACAAACATCACCTCGTTGGACATCATCCCCTGCCTGGATCGTGCAAGTTGGTGAAAGCCACCAAGCCCTGGTACTGAGGGTTCTCGTCCATCCGCTTCTGCAGAAATTCAACCTCCAAACATTCAACAGAACCATCACTGATTGGGTTAGACGAGAATCTCACAGCAACACATGTTGATACATTTATTTGCTTCAAACCTATTCCATGTGCTCCGGCATTCTGGTTCGATTGTCCAGCCAAAATCTCCAAAACTGGTCCAGTCCAACCACACCCGCTTTGCTAAAGCCTGCTTCATGCAGGAGGGGCAATCCCCATCATATAAGAGGTTGATCACCCAGCGGTCATCCTGCGCCGAGGGCAGCCGATGACCAGCAGCAGACCGACGGCGCAATCGGCGATGACGAAGCAAACCAGCAGCAGCCCTTGCAAGTTTCTGGGTGAACATAAGTTTGGAGAGGAAATGCCAGAGTTTCTGGGTGAACACAGGATCAGATTCGGACCTTCAGATGGGTCAAGTTCGCAGAAGTCTCGCCTCGGTCACGACTCAAAGAGAACAAACACGTGCATCCAAAAGCCCACCACTCTTGTGGCAAAATGATTGACCAAATGCTCCGAATACCACCGTCCTTCCGGAAAAAAAGGGGTTCCGAATCTCAGCTCCATGGCTCTGTGGTCTCTCGGACCACATGAGACTCACAAGGACCGCGCGCGTACCACAACGAAGAGCGCGTCGCCGCGGCCGAAAGAACCACACGCGCCGCCGCAAAAGGCCGGGACCAACGCCCCACACTTGGACCCGCCACTGTCTGTCGCTTCCACATTCTGTACCTCTCCAACGTCCTGACGGACGCGTCCAAACCCGCGTAATGATTTCGCGGAGTTCGACGTGAAGAGGCGACGGACCAATGGCGTCGGAGCATCCGGCACAAACCATAGTGGCTTAGTCCTCAGCCAGAAGCTTTTTTGGCGATAAACATCGGAGATTTTAAAGCCCCAATGTGGCTTCGATCCATTCTGCACCTAAATTGTTGCTGAGTGGTGGGAATATGTGGGAATTAGAAAAAGCATGAAAAAGCATGTAGATTTGTTCCAAGCATTTCCAAGCAGCATTCCTCTTCCAAATCATTCCAAATCAACTTTCTAAGTGATCACATGATTTCTATCACATCGTCTAAACATGAACCCTCACTTGAAGCCGTCACCCGAAAAGTTCGTGCATTGCTCCTCTTCCGCGACTCTTGACTCCGTGATGATCTCGATCTCATCTCGTTCAAAGTGTGCATTGAAGGCCTCGCAACGACCACGTCCCGGTTCCCTATCAGACGGATCACCGCGCCGGTGAAAACCGGCGCTCCCCTGGTGTTTGTTGCTCGGAACCAGACGGATCCCGCTTCCGATCGGTCGCAAAGCGGACTGAACCGTCGTGGGATGTTCTTCGTCAAAGGGGTCAAAGGGGCGACCGTGACTGCGAGGGCACCGTGTTGTCGCTTGAGGGGAAGAACGAAAGGAAAGGCCGAGTCCAACATGACTCAGCCACGAACCCCGAACTGGGCAGTGGTGGATTATGACTTCCAGGTGGGGTACTTCATGTTCGTCAAGTCACGGAAGTTCTCTACGTGGATTGGCCCGCGAGTCATGTGACTGTCGACCTACGGCCCATCGGCTCTGTCCTTGAACTTCTCAGTTCCAGGCGCCTGAGCACGAATGTTCTCAACTCATCGAACGTTCAGCTTGGCCCTTCGGAACGATCTGTATTATGGACAACGCCCATAACGCCTCGGTTCGATACTCGCTTCATTCAGCTGCGAATCGGACCCGGAAGAGCTTCATGGCACCGGTCACTGCCGCGTCTCCAGCCACGCCGGCTTCGGCGCGGCGCGGTCTGGGGGCCTTCGTGAGCTTCACCAGGATCGGCCGATTCGCCGTGAGGTGCGGGTCTTCGATCACCGAGGTCTTGGTCCACATCGAGCGAGCGGGGGGGGTGGGCAGTGTTTCGGTGCGGGGCTCGGGCCAGAGTGACATGGTGTGGTCATGTGTGTTCTTGTCTGTTTCCGGGGTGCTGGAGTGACGTGGTGTTTTGAGCAGCAAATTCAGTTCCAAAATCATCTCTCATCGTATTGGCCTAAAGAGTTTAATCTCAGATATGGTGCCAAAAGATTGCAAAAGCATCGGACGCTTCTCCACAAGCTCTGGTCATTTTCCCAAATGCTCCACCTCCCCCAAAAAAACACACATATTAATGCTCCCCCCCCGCCAGTCACCCTCAGGTCCAGAACGTCCACGTCTGTCTAGACGAGGTGCCACTTCGCCCTCCAGGCCCTTTGGGTTGTACGGCTTCCTCGGTCGACCCGCGGTGGAACCCGGTGACGGAGGGGAGGTGACTGGGCCCATGCGGCTTTCACACGCGACCGCGGCCGAAGTCGCTTCGCCCCTCGTCTGGTCCGTTCGGTGCGCCCCCACGGAGCCTGAGGTGGCCCACCCTTTGGAACCCGGGACGTGCCAGAAGATGACGTCATCGCCGACTACCTGGTCAGCTGGTCAGCTGGTCGGCGGGTGGGAGGACAACAGTGGGACAAGATGGACACAGGGCATGTCCGTCTGCGAGGACTGACGCGGTTGTTGAAACGACATGTGACACGCGCCCCTCTGCAACACGTGGGTTCACGTAGCACACATGACCACGCGGTACCATACCATCAGTCGTTATCTACGCAGAACATCTCAGAAGCAACGCGCTGAACGGTCTGGCAGCTCATGTGACGTTTCCCGCAACGTGTTTGGGTCTTTTTTCCGCTCCGGCGTCGTCGTCGAGAGCGGCTCAGCCGGGCTCGGGCAACTGCTTTCCGCCCAAGACCTTGCCGGGGCCGCTGCCGGTGGCGACCGGTCAAGAAGCGACCATGTGATGGTGAGACCGTTTGGCGCTCAATTCCTCACACCAAGACGCGAGGGTTGCGTGGATGGGGCAATGGTAAGTGCCTACCTCTCATTTTGAGACTTGACTACAATCCATGCAAGCTAGATGTAGCGCTGTAGCACGTGAAAGAGGGATGAAGCAGCGATGGGATCAACGTTGATTGCAAGCTTGAGCCCCATCTGCCTCGACCTATTTAGCCTCTTCTTCATCTGTTATATGGTTCGACAATAATACTATAACAGAATTCGATGGTTTTGAATCCTAGTTGTTGGAGACCCTGCTACACTTTCTGTTATCTTTATCATACTCGTTCACCGGTTCCTATTGTGTTTGATGTGCTTCATTCTTCCCTTCGACCGCTTCTCACCTTGAACTGTGAGAAGTACTGCTGCTCCAGTTGCCTGCAAGGCACTCCAATTCCACAAGACTCCCAAAGCGTATTCGGAATACCATGGAATAACTCCTCCGAGTTCCCTAGCTTGGCCTCCGACCTAGCAAAAGGATGTTATTTCATGGTCAAGTGTTACGTTTTCACTTCCTAACCCCTAAGAGGGGTCTACTCTGCGAATTCCCGGCCTGGCCATGGCGTGTCCCTCTTCCGGCCTAGGGCGGCGGACCCGATTCGAACGCTCAGTTGGAACGGCGCAAAGGACGCTCAGAGAACGAAGAGGTTTCCAGAGGCTTTAGATGTTGAATTGGGGGAGAAGGTATACTGAAAAGGTTCTGTACCTGGATCTTCCAACTGTTGGCAACATGTCTGCACCGTGCAGTCTGCACCTTTAAAGTGGGTTGGTTTGATAGATGAAAGGTATTTCTTCTTCTTGCACAGTTCGAAGATCTAAAAAAGAGTGGTCTTTAGGTGAGAAAGGAATTTCATGAATGTCCAATCAATTCCAATCATCTTCAGTGGGTCAAAATCTCGTCGTAAAAGGAACACGCGTCGTCCTTCTTCCCGCGCCTCATTGGCACCATGCGCTGCCTCGAGGCGCGTTCTTTGGCTTCTTGGGCGGCGCGACGATCCGCCTGGCGAGCGTGACTCAGAACACGCCGCGACCGAAACAAGATCACTCTGTGTTCTATGAAAATCATACAATTCAAGCGCTTGTTTTTTACAGACTACGGAGCAGCATGAGCAGCCTCCCCCAAAATCCCATCGCGAAGTCCCTGGAATTTGGAGATCGCACCACCGATTTGGAGACTCCTCCGGTTCGATCGCACCGGCGCCGAGCGCGGAGCTCTCGAGGTCCAAACCACCGACGCGAGAAACTCGATGGCCACCGCGACACGCCGCCGCTCCACGCCTTCATCTGTTCGAGCTCTGCGATGGCCTGTTGCTTCTGCCTCGCCTCGCACATCCACGTGCGCAGCTCTCGCTGGGTATTGAACAACGGGATCGGCGGTTCCACCGCGACGCCCCGGGGTGAAATGCGGGTCAGAACTGGGACCGATCTTCTAACGTAAGTCCTGTATGCCTTTTCATCTTATAAAACCAGCCAAACGTCAAGCGGCAAACAGTTTTGCATGGTTGGAAGTTCCTTTCGTATCGATCAGAGCCGTGAATGACGCGGTATGGAATGACGCTCTAGTCGGTTGGAGGCCCTCGGCTTCAAAAGGAACCTGCAGGTGTTGAGTAGAACATGCAAAGCAAAACCACGTCTTTCCCGGACCTCTGCTATTCTCATCTGATACTGCTGAAGCTCCTGGGATGTCGGCGTCAGTGAGGGTCAAAGGCAAGTCAAGTCATTTGCATGGCATGCTCAGACCTGCGAGCACTTGCAATATTTGGAGAGTGCCAAAGTAATACGATGCCACCAGATCCATTCTAGCAACCATCTCTGAAATTAGCAATCCAGAAGAGGTATGAAGCTTATGCTGAAGGTGTGACAACGCTTCGTTCGCAATCAAACCTACCATTCGGTTGACAAGCTTCTTCTTCAGCCTTCCTTTTCTTTGCAGATGAGCCCGACGATGAACCAGAAGAAGAGGAGGAGGAAGAGGCTTTCCTCGAAAATAGAAACATCTGAAAACCCGCTCTGATCTGTTTGACCCCTATCCAGCCACTCTGGAGAATTCTTCACTGGCACGAACGGCTGAATCAAGCCATTCCATGACGAGCAACATAAGGGGATTGAGGGGAGATTCCAGGACATCTCCCTGCAGCTATCTACAAGATGAGAGGCTTCTTCTTCTTCTTTTTCTTCTTCTTCTTGTCCTTCTTCTTCTTCTTGTCTTTGCTCTTCTCCTTCTTCTTCTTGTCCTTTTTCTTGTCCTGGCAGAAACCACCCTTTCACAAGTTCGCAACACACTGACGCACCCACACACCTTGCTGCGACAACTGGAGCACAGTTGTTAGCGCCACGTGGTCGCAGAGTTCTCCCGGTCCTTGCTACTGCCAGCTCCAGGGATTGAGGGCTCCATGACCTTCTTTTCCATGAAGTCTAATGGATGAACACCCATCTTCTTGGCCTGCTTGAAGAACTGCCTCAAAACGTGGAACAACGGAGGCGGAGTCTGATGAGTCTGTGTCGCGTTCCATTTCGAGACAGGGAGAAGGATTGACCTGGGAATCCGAGTCTGATGAGTCGGTGTCTCTTCCGGTGGAATGAAGAAGGAGCTTCACCAAATCCCGGATGGCAAGCGGGTACTACTGGCTTCCCCCAAAAAAAATGGATCAAACTGCAGGCATCGCTTCGCCCCAAAGACAAACGCAGTGCAAAAAAACAGAATGGATCAGGGATCTCTTAACTTAACCACATCCAACTACCCAGGTTCAGATCGCTGAGGTCTTACACTCCGTGGAACTGGAAGTGGAAAAGCGTTTGGTCTGTGGATTTCATGGTCATCCTTTTGGGGCCGGGCCATGGCATCCACGATGGATCCAACCGTTACGAGGAAACAGCTTGGACCAGCAGATCTTGGACCAGCTTCCCCCTGAAATTCTCTGGACCCACTTGAAGAAGTCCCTGAAGTCCCTGAAATTCTGCATATGTTTGTATACATGCACTATGATACACTCCCTGGAACACGCACAGAGACGTGGATGGCAGGTGTTCCCCAATTTCAAAGGACATAAAATTCAGGTTGTCCTTTTTTTCATATTATATAAACCCCTCTGGAGAAGAAAACAAACTTCACCCGGAAAAAACGAAATGCTCCCAATCCTCCCAACCCTCCAGCCCCTTCTCCTGACCCTTTCACCGCGCGCGCAGCACACCACCCGGCGCAGCGACGCCACCGGTGGCAAGCCACGAAGGATCGAAGGCCGAGTCCATGGTGCTCAACTTGTTGATGTCGACTTCCGGCGCTGCACGGCTCTGTCCATGCCATCTCTTTCCCACGATGGCATCCTGAGCTTCCGCGGGGGTGGGTGGTGCTTGCGATCGCTTCGTGCACGTACACGGGCGGTTCAGTCGAAGGCGGTTCTGTCGAAGCCGTACCACCAGGGGTTTGGATGGAATTCCGTGATGCGAGAGGCGATTCAAAGCGCAAAAGGCGGGCATAAAAATGGGCTGTTGTAGGTGGGAAGATGTGGGAAGGATTCTGGAGGAATCTTGCCAGGACGCAGTGACTGTTCTCTGCTTGTCAGCCTCCTTCCTTCGCAGCTCTGCTACAGCTGGATGAACACCAGCATCAATACTATCTTCCACTGTCTTTGGCTTCCAAACGTAGTCAAACAGCGCCGCCCTCGGAAAGCTCAGTTGCGTTTCTCAGCCAAAGAATGGCATGTCGAATCATATCGACACACCGATCATACTGACAGTGCTTATGCATGCTTATGCACTCATTCCTGCTGGGGCATGCTGGAATCCGTCAACCGCCACTCAAAGTAATTCACATTCTTTCCCATCTTCGGTGTCTCCATGAACATCCACATGGCAGCCATACAACAAAAAGAACTGAGGATCACGCATCCCGGCAAGGAGGCCTGGGACACAGACCGTCGGACGCCTCGCTTCCCCCTCGCGACCGAGAGCGCTGCGATGCCGACGCCGGACGCTTCACGGCCCGCGCCTGACAGCCCTGGCACCCCACCCGCGTGCGCCGCGGAAGCAGAAGGTTCTGGGAGATCAGGTTCTTTTGACCAAGAAAGGGCCGGTGGGATCTGTGTTGGGGATGTGAGATGTGATGACTTTATATCAAGCACTGAAACATCACCAAACATCCTTACTTGAGGTGGCAAGTAGGGTTTGCCACAGACTTGAACAAGGGATACAGTGGTGATAGTGTGCGTGGGTGTATGCAGCTTGTTTCATCATGACACTTGACCTTCTATAGGAATTGCTCATATTATTCTTGGTCTCATAAGTCTATCAGTGCAAGTGGCCATTCTCTTCTTCTCGAGCCACAAGCAGCAGAATTCACATCCAGCATCACTCATTGTCAGTGGCTTGTCTGGTGTGTTCCTTCACCCAAGACACACCCGAGACTCAAAATGAGTCTTGGTTCCCCACACTCCACTGACTCACTACCAGCTCTGGCTTGCCGGAAAAAAAAATAAACAAAAAAATACATTACATGAACAAAAAGAAACCCCAAAAACAAGCAAAAAGAAGACACTCCGAAACCACGCATCGGTGAGGTAGTCACGCCCGCCTTCACAGGTGTTCCCTTTGGAATGGGTAGCTTCTCGACGACGTCCTCCTGGCCCCAAACCGAAGGCTCCGATGTGACCGATTTTCTCCACAGAAAAGCCACCTGGAGGGAGTTGATACAGTATGGACTGAGTAAGTGTCGAGAAAAAGCATCAAAAGGCAACTGATGCATGATCATATTCTGACATTATATGCCGATATGCCCATACAAGCCGATACCCTCCTTCCGAATCTTCCGAGGTCAGCTAAAACCACCCTCAGGATCCTTCCTGGGTTCCTGGTGGAAGCACCTACGGAGATGCCCAAGAATCCACCCGGCACCTCCCAGGAGATCTCGGACACTGCTGCTCTGACCTGCAAACGGGTTTTGGAGCGCCTGTGGCGGACTCTGCCAAGACCCGTGGCCGAAAAAGGCCCCCTCCCCCCCGTTGTCGTCACTCCAAATTGGGCTCATGGCCAGCGTAAACCGCTTGGAGCGTTTGGTGTGACCTGAGCGCAAACCGAAGATCGGCCTCATCGTCAACTTTTCCCGCTTCCATCTCATGAACATGCTGAGAACATCGTTGATTTTTCTCTGAGTGGTTTGCTTTAGCCCTGAAAGAAGAAAAATGCTGCCGTCACATGCATGCTCATCCATGCCACATCGGCTCAACAAACCACTTCGGCTCCGACCACTTCGCCGGGAGGAGAGGCACGCGGCGGCCCCAATGGGAGCCCAAGCGAAGTGACCTCGCGAGCACACGCCGCTCCAACCGACAGGCCGAACGGAATCGGCCGAACGGACGCGCTCACACTACAGGCCGGGTGACGGTCTCCCCACAGATTACAAACTCTATTCGTGGTAACTGGGGCTTTGGTTTTTGCAACTGGGGCTTTGGTTTTGGCCAGTGTGAAACCTTGAAGGTTCAGAATAAAACATCATATCTCCCCATGGGTGCTGCTGGCTCATGAGCATTCACCCACATACTCATCCATTCTTTCATCCTCAGCAGTTCATGACAAAACATCATTAGCAACATCACTTTTACCACCTCTCAATCAATCACTCTCTTATCTTCATGAAAAGATGAGGGGTTATTTTAGACATCTTTAAACTATATAACTATTCCAAGATGATGGCAGGTAGCCTGGCTGGTTCATTGAACCTTGAAGCACGCTAGTGATTGGAGTCCATGCGCACCCACAACACAGGACCAACTGTAAGGAACTACTGAAGACCCAGTCCACACTACCCTCCCTTGGCACCCTTCAGCACTTTTTACACATACATGCCTTGGCTCCTCCTGGGTCATAGGGACCAAGGACCAGACAACCATTGCTCTCACAAGGATTCACAGTGCTCAGCTGCAAAGACCATTGCACTTGAGAAGAGGTCATAGTGGCACTTGATGGCCTCATCAAGCTTCGTGCCTGTAGGCATATTCTTGCATGCACGCATTGCGTCAACGAAGGGGTCTGCAGGTGTTTTGTTCTTCAGTATGTACATTGTCACATCATTTTGCCATTCCAAAACTGGATATGGAACATCACGTTTCATGCTGCCATGGCCCTTCCCATGCACCAAAACATCCAACCCTTGGGTCGTCATAGTTTGGTGTTCGCCCTCCAGAAGTTGGAAAGCCTTGGTCCAGGTCATGGAAATCTCATAGAGGGCAACATTCCCGTTAGGTCGACCCATTCCAGCACAGAACCGCATGGCCTCACCACATATCTCCTCTATGTCCCTGGATTTTTGTTTCCATTTCTTTTTGTCTTCATCAACAAAGGTGAAGTAGATCATAGCCTGCAAGTGTTCAAACAGGCGAGTCATCCTCAGTGATTGCTCCCCCTCTCGTTCACCATGGCCCTGCCGCCACATCACAGGAAGGTTGGGCTGGTGGGTGGTTGAGCCAAAAGTTTGTCAGTTTCTCAATTGACAAGTCTTTTCTAGTCTTGGTCCTTGGTCCTTGGTCCTTGGTCTTTGTCCCAGCTCCTGTCAGGCCTGCCAGGCGTGCCTGCTGCTACAGCGGCAGCTGGCAGAGGTGCCTACCCAGAGGGAGAATGCACAACGCTGTATGTTATTGCTTTGCAAGGTCATTGGTCCGTCTTAAGTTCACCTGTGAAGCACATGCAGTTTTTTCACTCCAATCTACAAAAAAGTGTTCCGCAAACCGTTCCGGAAACAATCCCTGATCCACAAACCACCCTTTCTGGAACACATCTTTTCCAGCTCAGTCAATATAGTACATCGATTCGATGCTAAAGCTCAGTCTCCAAGTCTCAACCTCTATGAATCTGGACTTTCATGTGCCATGAAGTGTCCGGCAAATGGCTGAAAAATGGATTTCGCTCAGGATAGACTAATGGCATTCTTTCAGGAGCTTGACATTGAAGCCAGGGCGTGTGGTTTTCAATGGTTGGTGTTTCTGAACAAGCCAGGACCAAAGACTGAAGATCTGCAGCAGCCCTGTGGTATCCATATCGGCAATCCCTAATGAGCTGTGCCATCTGTTGGAAATGCTCTTTCTCCTTGTCAGTCATTGAGGGCCCTTGGCATTGAGTTGGAGACAGTGTTGTCACACGGTCAACCCTGCTTGCAGGAAGGACACACAAAGGGTCCTGCTGCCTGTCTCGCATGTAGGTCTTAACACAGCACATGACATCCTTGTCTGAAGCCGAGGACCTCAACCATGCATGGTGCTTGGCCATTGCTTTCTCATCCCCTGTGAGATCCACGATTTCCCCATGCCAATTGAATGAACCAAAGACCAATCATCAACAGCATCGCCAGGACGGGCAGCCTTAGCAAAGAGTATGTCCAATGGTTCCTTCTGCGAAAGGTAAGGGCGGGCCAAGAAATTGGACACTGTATCCAAGATATAGACCATCTTGGACGGGCCTTTCACAGAATCTTCAGCAGCAAGCCCCAGCTGCCATGGTGCCACCACAAATCGGTCAATCTGCCCATTTGGAGGAAATGGAAGCACTGTGGTGACAATAGGTTCAGGCACCCATCCAGTCAATGTCTTGACTCTTTGTTCCAACCCCTGCATGTCAACCACCAACTGGTCACGCTGAGGAGATCCAGGCGGATACGTAGCCATGAAGTAGTCATGGAAAGTCAATGCATCCTGTGCTTCAAGATCCCCAGACCCACAGAAGGTCTTCTCAGCCAGGCTCACAATCCTTGCTGCGACAGCCATGGCTTTTGGTGCTAGATTGTGCTGGTAAGCAAAATGTATTTTGTCATGGCAAGTTCTCATCGGGACATGTATTCTACTTTCTCAAAATTAACCTGTTTCCATTCAGAGCCACCTGCAAAAAAGCTTGCTGATTGAGCCAGGTTTGTGGGTGGCGCGGCACTTGGCACCGCCAGCAAGTTTGAACATTTAGTAAAGCCAACCTGACAACATCAGTGCCTTCAAATCACCAAGTCTGGGTTGGCCTTTCTTAACCATCAAATTTGCTGGTGGCCATCTATACACCATCGCCGGCAAACTCATGATGAACTTGTGCAATGAGTCTGGGCTGCCCAGAATGGAAAAATTATAAATCCATGGGATGAAAGCCGAGTAGCTTATTTGAAAATATGTTCGGCCAGTCGTGCACAAAAAGATCAAAAAAGAAATCATAAATCCTAAAAGTTAGTTTTTGCACATTACATAACATACAAGTGTGACCTTACAACATCTGGACATATGGGATTTGCTGGTGGCGCGGGGTATGCCATCGCCTGGACCGAAAGCATTCCAACAAACACGAACCTCACAAGTGTGACCTTACAACATGTGGAAATATGGCGGGAACAAATTTGGACAGGGAAAAAAGCAGGAACAAACAAATTGGGAAAGCAGGGACAAACAAATTTGGACAGGGAAAAAAGGCATTCCGGACATACGGGGGCTTCCAGGTGGCGCGGTACACCCCGTCGCCTGGAAAAAAGCGTTCCGACATACGGGAAACAAAAACATTACATTCCGACAAACGGGACTTACATTCCGACAAACGGGATTACATTCCGACAAACGGGATTACACTCCGACAAACGGGAATTGCATTCCGACATACAGGAATTATATTCCCACGTACAGGAACTGAATGACAATGATGACACAGCGAACCAAACAAACAGAGATATGAGACAAAGTCAGACATGGGGCCTCAAGGAAAATGATACATGAATCAGGATGTCTGTTGGTATGAAAAATCAAAAGGCAGCCCAGAAAAAATGAACATGGAGGCACTCAAAGTGATCTATTCATTGCAATGGCACACTCGGTTCGATCTGCTGTAACACGCAGAAGCAAAGAAAAGTGAGGCGGACTTGGTCCTTGGTCTTTATGGTTCACTTGTAACTTGGTGTTGTTGGAGACTGCTGGATGCGCATGGCTGGAATGAAAAAACTGAGGATGGAGGGGCAGGAAGGTGCAGACAAAACGCCAACTAACAACAGCAGCAACAACAACAACATGAAGAACTGCAATGAGCTTTTGTGTTCTTGAATGTTTTTGATCTTGCAGGGTGTCAAAAGAGAGCATGTTTTTTTTAATGGACTTTGGATGTTTACTTTTTTTGGTTTGTGATTGACCTGAAAATGTGTTTTTCCCTAGGTTTTGGCGCAGTTCCTAAAATGGTTTCTGGAACGCCATTTCTTTCAGGAACTGTTTCTGGAACACATTTAGCCCAGCCCTTCTCCCGACAGGCACCTCTGCCAGCTGCTGCTGCAGCAGCATGGCTGTGCCAGGCAGGCCTGGCAGGAAGGCAGCAGGGAATGACCGAGGACCAAGAACCAAGGACCACTGAATCCACACGTATAGCCTGTAAAATACATAGATATTACTTCCAACTTGCTTCCTGCCCAGCCCAGCGCTGCATGTTTTCCATGTGATACAAGGCTTCCGTCAGTCCATCAGGTGTTGGCCCAGGCTTCAGTCCATGGTCCATGTGGTCCTTGGACCTTAGGACCAAGGACCGCACGAACCACAGACCGAGGACCAAGGACCAATTAGGCCAATTACCTAGCCGCTCTCATGCGCACTCAGCCCACTGCGCTCGGGTCCCGATTCAGCAGGTTGCTGTGCACTGCGAAGAATTGCTGCCCTGAGTTGCGTCGTAGGTACAAGGGTTCTTGCCCTTGGGGATCTGGGAGCCACAAGCTGTGTGTAGCACATGTCGCAGATGACTGTCCTGGGACGCCTGATGCAACAAAGTCTTGGGCAGCTATCTTCCATCCACTCAAAAACGTTGCAAGCCAAGTAGGATGCCACAACTATAGTCCAAATGGCCACCCCAATGATGGCAAGAAGGTCCACAATGCCCATTTGAGACTCCATCATTACAAGGCTAATCAACAGGCGACAAAAATATCTGACCTGTTCTACTTTTAGTTTTGAGATTTGGGTTAGGTGTTGAACTATACTATGGCTGCTGAATTGAGTTTGCTAGCTTGGGCCACCTGGCTGGCATTTGGCAGCTTTGTATGCATAAACCTAGGACCATGTACCCAGTGTTGGGCTGAAGTGTGCTCTAGCCAGAGTGGAGAACAAATCATACTTGCGTGTGAACCTTGCTGCATGTTGACGAAACAATTATACTATCAAATTTACAGGGCTTGATACGTGCTTCTTCTACCTTGCACATTGCCAGGTGGTAACAAAAAGACAGGGTCAAGAAGCAAGGACCAAGGACCCAAACATATCAAAACAAATGTGTGCTATAGAGCAGCATTGCCTACTCAATGTGGTGAAGCTGTGGCCAATGACAGCCAACCCTTCCTGTACCTCCTTCTATCATTGAAACAAAATCTTGCCATCTTCAGATCTTCACATCTTCCAAGCTTTAAAGCTTCACATAGAAACTTTAGAAGTTTCCCATGGATATTCACTAAGTGGTTTGTGTGCTTGCGCACACTCTACGGGGGCTCAGCATCACCAACCTAGCTTGGAAAACCAAAGCCCCAGTTGCAAAAACCAAAGCCCCAGTTACCATGAATAGAGTCGAGTTTCTACGGCGATCGGCGGTTCGGCGAGGTGCCATTGAGACAAAAAGAGGCTCAGTTGCCCCAAGCCACTCATTTGGAGGGTCGATTCAGAACCATCGAAGGGACCAAAGTGACAAGACGAGAAGCGTATTTGTTCGTTCGAGATGACAAACCTTTATAAGAGAGCTATAGAGATTTAATCAGGCGTTTTTTCGATTCATGCTGTTCTTTTTCACCTCGTTTCTCGTTCCACCTCGTTCCACCTCGTTCCACCTCCCTCACCGCCGGGTGCGGCGCGCGGTGCGGCGTGCGTCTCGCCTTGGAACTGACCATGTCTCGCCGTCCTGTCGGCGACGCGGTCGCGGTCGCGGTCGCGGTCGTCCCTAGACTCACTGGTCCTTTCGAAGAGACTTCCAGAGGTTGGACCCTTGATGATTGTGAAAAGGGCCAAGAAAAAGAATGGCAGAGAACACGTGAGAGGGCCGAAGAATGGCTTTTTGAAGAATGGCTTTCTTGGGCAAACTCGCCCTCACAGAGCTATAGATCGTACCTGTGCACCAGTCCACAGATCAACTGTGACCTCAGCTGTTTATATGGGAAGAGCAAAGAGCAGGGTCCTCCGGGTCCTCCCCTTGAGCAGATGTCATTGCTTTTCGAAATGAGCCCAGAGTCGGCTAGAGTTCCAAGAACATCTGCATCTCCATTGTCTCGGGTCTGCATTGGTTGGTCCATGTGCCCCATTTCGGAGGCGTTTTCTTGTATCCAGTAGCGAAAAACCTCCACCTGAATAGCGGCCTCTTCAAACCCGTCAACCTGCGGTGACGAAAGAGCACCACGGTCCACCGTCACCCGTCCACCGTCGCGCGAAAAAACACCGCCCCTTCGCTCCAAACCCGGTCCTTTCGGACGAGCGTGACGCTGGCGTGACGCGTGGCGCACGTGGCGCACGTGGCGCAGGTGGCGCGTGTGGCGCCTTCGCCTGGCGTCCAGGAGAACGCTGCTCAAGTGTTGAAGTGTAACGAGAGACGTTCGTACAAGTAGCATTCGAATGCATTTGAATGCATTTGAGTAGTGCCCCCCATTTGGACAGAAATAGAAAGAATGCCCTTTTAGACATATATATGAGTCCTTATTTGGATTATATCGTGTGATGTTTTTCTCTCAAAGCATCTAATTTATGATCATAATCTATCTCCTTGGGGGTTCTCTCCACATCAAGCCAGAGTCTTACATGTCCCTACCAAACTAAAACCCAAACACGCTATGCAAGCCAATATGACCTACAGACCTACATTCACCACCAAAAACTGAATAGGCCCTATATGTGCGAAGAAAGGCCTGATCCTTTGGGGACTACTGCATCTTTCACGAAATCGATGGGAGCCCCTGGTCCAATCGAGGAGCCCCGGAATGACGGATGGCGCGATGTGCGATGGCCATGCTTCGGCCGAGAACACATGCGGTTCGCACACGTATTGGATTTGGTGCTCACACGAGTCGCCAGCCTGCCCCCTCAAGGCATACTGTGCGGGCTGGGCCATGGTGCAGTGTCTGCGTCAGACCAGTTCTCGTGGTGGGCGGGTTCTCAGTTGGAACGGCTAGTGGCTCTGGTGAGTCTGATGATGTCTGAATGCCATGAAGTGGTGTGGTATCTGACAAGAAGATCTGACCAAATGAGAACTTCCAGCACCCATGCCATCCGCTACCAGCCCAAAGTCTGCGCATGTTAATTCAAGCAAGATGCTGGACAATCGGAGAGCAAGGGGTCTGCAAGCCTACCATCTATTCATGACTGTGATGCTCCTCTGATGATCCTTTTCAGCCAACTTTCGTGAAAGCACCGGCGTTTTCCCCGCGCACTTGAGCGCGTGTGGCAAAGACCAGTGCCATCACTGCTTCGACCGGTGCGTTAACGTGCACTAAACTACTGAAGGCGAGAGAACCACGCTTCGAAGCAAAAAAGCACCGTCGCTTTCAAAGCGAGCTCTGCCTGGAAAGTGCACTCTGCATGACCAAAAGTCACGCCGAAGCTAACTACTGCTGCCAATTTTGCAGCTGGAAGAAGGGGGACCTCGCCCAGCGTGCCAGTGTGTGCACGCAGCGTACGCACGCTCTGCACCCAGATTGTTGGTGGATTCTCCATATTCTCCCAACTGCCTGCTCCGTGCCTGGTCATATTTGCAGAACATCGCCTTCCTCCTGATGTTCGCAGAGATGCTTTCGGGTCGGAACACCCCCGCGTGGCGGAACGACGGCCTCCCTTCACTGCCTCAGGAGGCCTCAGCGCTTCCCCGGCTCGCATGCGGAGGCTTGTTCCACACGGCGAACCGTCCGAACCGTCCGGCTCACCGTCCGTCCCTTTTGGAGGGGTGAAGAATATATGAGGCAAGGCATCCTCAACCCCCAAACCGTTCGCACATGATGTTGGGAAATACTGGAAATTCACCAACGTCTATGGCTGTCTGGGTTCACACATGATGGTTGGGAACCACACCCCAAATGCCCGATGACTTTGGTCAATTCCTCTTGATATTCCCTCGCCAAAGCTGCCAGACTGGACAAAGAAACTGTCGGAGTCCATGACGGAATTCCTCTGCTCTAAGCGTTGCTCCAGTACTGCACCTAGTCTATATCCAGCACTAAGATGGGTTCTTGACTCAAAAAGACTTAAACTGGTCTGGAACCACACTACAGATCGCCTGAGATTCAATCAAAGAATGGCCGGCCAAAACCAACGAGGTTTCCTTTGATACCAAGTTAAAGAACTGGAAAGGAACCCAATTCCTGTTGACACTTCGGACACTTTGTGACACTTCCCACCACCCAACCCATCCGAACCCAACCACCCAACCCGACCGCAAGGGTGGCTCCGCACCTCCAGTCGCTTGCGCACCTCGCGCCAGAGGCCGCCCAGGCGTTGCTCCAAGACCTCCGGGTTGCGGGGGTTTCGGCGGCTCCTTCGCGGGCGGAAAGGGAAGCTGGTTCGAAGAGTTTTTGTTCAAAACTGAAGTAGTTAGATCTTGTTTTACATAGATTCCCTGTGTCATTGAGGGTCCATAGCACCGTGCTATGGAGGGCTTCAAGGATTCTACGGGATTCTTATAGTGATGTGTCTTGGGTGAGGAACACCAAGGCCTCCATTTCGGAGGGCCGGCATCGCCCGTTTCGGGCACGTCGCACGTCGCACGGTGCCTGCCAGGTGAGCGCCGGCGAAAGATTGCGCCAGCCTCGGGCGTGGGCTGTCCGCGGAAGGAGCGAGTGTTCGCCCCCCCGTGGTATGGGGGGAGGCGCAAGTTTGTTCAATGCGTGCGCTGTTGTTCAATGCATTTTTCAGGTCTTGGAAAAAGGGATCATTGGTGGAAAGGGGGAGAAATTTTTCAGACCGTGACTCGTGTTGGTCATTGGTGCCTGATGGATCCAGCCACCCTCATTCCTTGCGAGTCGCACCAGTCATTTCGGCTTCAGGGCTGTGAGTCGTTCGGGAAGTGCGTAGGTCTTTAATTTCGAGGCGAACGAGGCGGAGTCGAGGAGTTGTTGCGGGACACCCGGGATCTAAAGCATCATCTGGGCCCCTGAAAGCCTGTTTTGGCGTGGGGCCCCGCGGAGGGAGAGAAGTATCTTTTCGCTTGAATCTGGGTTTCTGCAGATCTCGAACCCCTGCGGCATCGTCGGTGTGCGAAGCTGAGGCTAGCGGCCATATTCCTCGAGCTCCTCCAAGCCCTGTCCTGCCACGGTAAAAGAATGTCCAGAGAACGTCAAAAGAAGTCACTGGCGGATTCTGAACATTCACGAAAGCCTAAGACCCTTTTTACTGGGCTAATATGTATGCCCTGGAAGTCCGTTCGACCATCCAAAGAATGGCCTTCCGGTTACCCGAGTCCATTAAAAATAGAAGCCATCAATTTAATATCATATTTTATTTACGTTATGCCAGCAATTGTATTATTTAATGCTGTAGTTGCCAAAAAGAATAAGAAAGGTCAAATGCTGGCATATGTTTCATGTTGTTCCTTTAATTTTGCTTTGATCTTGATTTCTCATGGTATGTCTCTCTTATTTTCTTCTAATTCGTTCTTTCATTCATGCTTTTATTGTTATTGTTATCCGCGGTCATTGGTATCTTCTTCTTGTTTATGGCTCTTGCAACATATCGTCGAATTGGACTTCTAGGGCATTCAAATGAATGACTTGCGTTTTCGCATCCACCGCCATTGCTTTTCGTGTTTTCCTTCAGGTCCCACCAGTCCAAAACGACCCCCACAGCAGGGGCGACAGCAGGGGCGGCTTGTCACCACCCACCACTCCTCCTGACATGAACGCCACCACCGGGCCCAGTTCCTGCGCTTGGTCGCGAATCGGTCTCGGTTTGCTAGAGCGAAATCGGTTGGTGAATCTGTCAAAGTTGGGTCTTATCTCATGTGAGTGGTGTCAAAAACCATCCGGGACCATAATCTTAATACCTAAATTCTTTCATAGAGGCTTATGACGTTGCTCGTGTGAGTTCTTTTCTTTTTTTCGGACATTCAATATATTATCTCAATAGCAATTTTTGTACGTCCACTGATATGGCCCGCGAGATGGAGCATTCATGATCATTCATGAAACTTCTTCCCTCTTCTTCCCTTGATGTCCTAAGAATTCAACAAAATTCCTGCGTGTGGGCCAAGCCAAAGGCGGCCCCCTGCTAATGGCCCTCTCGCCGAACCCCAGCAGCACACCGGCCTCGCTACCGGTGCACCCCGGTCCCGTACCGTTCCTTCCCCGGATCGACGGCGGACCAGCTTTGCAGGACCTCAGAGACGCGGTATTCCGCGGGGGGTTGGACGGCGGAGCCTGGTTTCGTCGACCGCGGTGGGTTGTTATGCCAAAAAAGAGATGCACTTAGACATTATAGGGTCTCCATCCGGGGGGTAATGACGAACATGTCTATTCATTCATTTATTGTGAAACACAAACAGGATCAGTGTCCCGATAATGTCCGATTGGTTTTGGGGTTTTCCACATTCCAAAAACACACAATTCTGAGCTCAGTAGATTCATCACCATCACAAAGAATTCGGGTGGAAAATTTGAGGTTGCCAAACATAGTAGGCGACGGAAACGTTTTGAAGACTTTTGGAAGACTGTCAGGCTCCATCAATCGTCATGGTTCTCTCATTGGCTCTTCACAGGGCATGTCGGCATGCAGCTCCCGTTCCGCCGGCCGGTCCGCAGCATCCCAGTCCGCAGCTCGCGCCCCCGGCGAGGCGAAAGCGGAAGACGTGCGAGGGACACTCGAACTTCAGGGTGTACCTTCAGCTTCGAACCGTCCAAAGACGACGGGAACGCAGCTGACGGGAAGCAGCGCTGGAGTCACGCGATGGCGAACGCGAAGTCTTTTGGAAAGCATGGCGCGGCTCGCAGACGGATGGGCGAGATCACTTAAAGGCATCCACAGAAGAACCAGATCCTGAAACTTGCCTGAAACCCAACTGCTCCAAACATCCTGAACATGCCAGCTCCAGTCCATGCTGCTTCGACTGCTCACTTAATTGGAAGCCTCTCGGTCCGCAGCGTTGAACCTCGACCTCTCCAACCTCGCCACGACCGCGGCACCGACCCGCGCGAGGTCGACGGGCGCCCGGACCGGATCTGGCGACCTGGAGCGCTAGCGTCGCTTCCCAGGCGCTGCAGCGCGAGAAGCTTTCGGTCGGGAAAGGAGTCACGTTATTGGAAAAAGTCATGAAAAAGTCACAAGGATCAAAAGCACCCCCCCCAACCTCACCGGATCAAACGGTCCGAGCATCAACATTCCTCCCTCTCTCCGCCTTCGGAGGCGAAGATCAGGGCCATGGAGCTGGCCGAGAGCTGCAAAACCTCGGGACCGTCGCGCGCGCGTGCGACCCGTCGTTTCGTTCGCACCGCGTGGAGGTCTGGTCTGTTCTTTTTCCGCAAAGAGTGACAGGTGCGTTAGAAGTAAAAACGCTTCATTCAGTGTTCATCACCCAGACACCCCAGGGGACTGTCATATTTACATACATTGGGGTGGTTTCAGGGGTCAATAGTAGGCAAATATGATCAAATATGGCACACATCGAGTGTTTGGGTCATCACATCATCCAAAAACTTCTGGGCCCTGATCTTCCGCGCCCCAATCAAATCATGGTATATGTACCCTTTTCGCCACATGGCCTGAAATGCACCACAGTTCGTTCTTCGAACCCCAAACAGCTTCAAAACGATTCGTTTAGACCCCCCAACAGTAAACTGTTTGGGGAAAAACAATCAAAAAATCATCAAAGATCCACGTCCATCAGCCCACGTCCCACCCTCCTTGCGCCTCCTTCAGCTTGAAGAGCGGCACCGAGATCGCTGCTTCCGCGCCCACGGCCTGCCCCGTCCACTGCGACCGAGCCCGGCCAAACGGTCGACCCGCCCCAACGACGACGCTCTTCAGCTGTCGGCTGTGCGCCTGGGTGGGTTGGAACTCCAGCAGTTGGAAATAGGGAGCACGGTACTGCGGCGCCGCCTCCGGACTGGCCTCGAAGTGCGAGTGCACATGCCATCCGAAGGATCCGGTGCAGGTCAGGCATGCATGAGGCTGTGGGGGTCACGGCGCCGGGCTAGTTATACCGAACAGAATGGAGTCCCGGAGGTCAACTCCTGAGGTCAACCTATACCTTTACCGGGGTTTTGAGCCCTATTACGGTGGCAAATTCACGGAGGTGGCCAGTTTGACACTTCCGCTATAGCCGCTAGTCAGTGTGGCTGCTTCTTTTGGCCTCGCCAGGTTCCACTTCTCTGCGCGCGGATGCTCGGCATCTCTCGCGCCTTCACCAAATGCGCCCACCGCATCCGAGAGGGTCCATCCTCCACCCTGCAACATGCGCCATCGTCACTTCACTAATTACAAAGAAAGGTCCTTAAATATGTTATAATGGATCTTCCAACAAATGTCATCAAATGTTCTGCTGAACTTGGCCGGTTTTACAGAGGGGAAAGGCAAAAAAATGGATTGCACAGTTGCAAGATCTATGTCATCTTGTAAATCCGCAGAGGCTCCGGAAAGAGCCCCTGCGACCTTTCTTTTGTTGAGAACGTTCTGCAGATCTGAGCCTTCGTAATCGAAAAACAGATCTGACGACAGTATGTGCTGCCGAAACTGCGAAAGTCTCGAATGGAAGGACCAGGACCCTCAACAGGCAAACAGGCATTCATCTTTCCCTTCCTACTATTGCTAGGGGTCTCCCCTATTGTTCAGCCACACCCAGTACTGTCCAGAAACTATACCTTTGTGCACGCGCACGCAACTCCCTGCCTGAGGTCAGATGAAGGTGTCACGTCCTGTGGGACATGACACACAAGCAGACCCATAAATCCCCGAACTTCCAACGACTCTTTTTACGTAACCTGGTAGTCATAATTGTCATAATCCACTAATTAGTATAGGAGACTACGGGAGCTAGTAACAGCTAGCAAAATGAGTCAAACTGGGACTCTCAAGGGCGCTCTCGTTTGCTTAATCAACAGCGCTTTTTTCGCGAACTTCGACGGCGGATCCGATGGAGCGGGGCTGAACCCACCGAGACGAGTCGATCGTTGCACAAATCCCCGAGACGGTCGATCAAGTCGAGACGGTCGACGACTCAGACAGACTCAGACGTCGACTCTTTTTACAGGAAAGAGTGTGGGACTGCTCTGCGGTTCGTCTCGTTCTTTCATGTTCTTTCTCTCGAAACAAGACGAACCGGACACGTGTCCGCTCGCTCGACGAGAAAGCTCCCCGATGCCTCGAGGCTGATCCACGCTTCACAGAAGGCACCATATGCACCATCCTGGCACTGACGGCGACGGAACCGGCGAAAAGCGCGATGCGGAAAATCAAACGGAACCGGTGACTCGAACGCCTGAACACTCGAGTCGGAACTTGAACAGCCCAGTGGAAGTGGCAGAAGTTTTGGCTGATAATCTGCGGATATTCAAGGTGGTCTTAAATCATCCTCACATCGTTCAGTACAAGTAGAATCAGTTCGTACAGTTCTATCATGTTCTATCTCTCCAGATCTTGCATGCTTTCACTCACCGGATGGCGACGTCTTCATCATGTGTTTGTCCATCTTTGGTCCTTCCGACCTCCAATCCCTCGTGCCAAAAACCCAAAAAGCACTCTCCGGTTCTCCCGTCTTTCTGGTGAGTCACCACCGGGAACCCCGGGAACCGGCACCTGCTCGATCCGTAGGTCGCACACGGCGCCTGTTGCGGTCCGTTGAAGACAACGGCGGAATCGGAGTTAGTTTTTAAAGCATGCAGCGTTGAGTTGGACCGGAGTCCGTTGAGTCCCGTTGAGTCATGTTTCTTTCCACCCAACTTCCCCAACTTGCAGCTCTACTCTCCGGTGCATCACTCCTACTCTCCTCCGCATCAGGCCGCGCCTTCGCTGGCCAGTCCGATGGCCTCGCTGTTCGACACCGGACCGTGGGCGTCCGTCTCCGCCGCCTGGAACGAAGCGTCGGGTGAGCGTCAACCGCCCACGGCCGAATGGAGGCGGAGAGATGGAGACGGAGCGCCCCGCGGCCTCCGTGTTGCTCATCAACCTGGAGATCTCTCGGGTGCCCGTTGCTTGAATCTGAAGAACTGAAGGTGAGGTGTGGATGAGGAGAACAAAGGTGAAACGCGGCTCTTTTTGGGGGGAGGAGGAAGGAAGGTCCAAAGTTGGGGCGCTTTGGTCTCCACAAGTCTCTGAGACAAACTCATCTGTCTAGAACTTCTAGACTAACTCACTTGGGCTACAAGTTCTGAGCTGCAGGCAGTGAGCTGCCATCAGAGGAGTCTCTGCGAGCAGCCTCGCTGGTCCAACCAGGTTCTTCTTGTGAGTCTCAAGCAAAAAATCACATAAGATACTGTTGACGGAAGGAATCCTGCACCACTTTTGTGAGGATTCATATCTTACACCCTCGCGCTCCCCTTCTTTACATTTTTGGGTCCGGCATCAAAACCTGCAAAGATCTGTAATTGACGAAAATCCTGCAGCACCTGACGGAGTCTCTGACAACAACATTGAAGTTTGGTCAGCTCTGGACGAGTTTGTGCGTCGGGTGCAGGGGGGTTGATCTATCAATTGTGAGTGCGCCTCCTCTAGACACCAGGTGTGTTTGGGGGCCAAAAATATATATGACAAGAATGAAGAAATCATTAAAACAGTGTTTGTAATCGAGCATTTGGCAAAGCCGACAATCGACACCCGCCTGACCAAAGAGGGAAATGCCATTGGACCTCTGCGGTTTGTGCCAAGGTATGATCATTTATGGAGATAAGTCAGCACCCGGCAAAAAGGATCCTCCCCTCAAAAGCCCCACTTTGCGCCACACCCATCGAATCGTGGCATGCAATCATGGCTTCTTGTTCCCAATAGTAAGGCCAGGAGCCCCTAGTAGCGTCCTTGCTACTAGTAGCGAGGCCAGGAGCCCCTAATAGCTTCTTGCTCCTAGTAGTACGGCCAGGAGCCCCTAGTAGCGTCCTCAACGTGGGGCTTGCACCTTCCACGTGTCGAGTGACTTCCGCGGTTCCCCGCGGCCCCGGTCTACGTCGCCACAGTCGTCGACCCCGCTGAGGAGGGTGACCCACCCGGGCGGGGTGCAAAGCCCAGCGCTCGTGCACCTGGGTGGAAGAAGCGAAGGAGGCGAAGTTGTCCCAGAGACGACTCTAAGACGTCGCCCAAAAAGAGAGTGGCACGCTTTCCAAGACATGTTGAATGGGGATGTGTTTTTTCTATCTAGTTGCGGGACTATGTAATTCGAGCAAAAGACATCAAAAGACTATATAAGACTCATGCGATCCCGATGTCTATCTCACATTCTAACACGGTCTGATGTTTGGTTCGTCTGTCTACCTCGATCTCAGGTTTGAGTGTTTATGACTGTGACTTCTGTAGCAAAGATAGAAGGTTGACCACGGACTCCATGGGTGTATTGTCAGATATGATGTGACCAGTGCATGCATAGTCATAGACACAATGATTTCAACCAAGTGTTGGTAGGTGACATGGCTAGCCACGAGTATAACTGAGTATATCTGTGTACTTTCAAGTAGGAAAGCACAAAAAAGAGCGGAACGACTCCACCGGCGAACACCAAACGACTCCACCAGCCATTGTGCCTCGGGGAGAGTCACTCCCATCATCGCCGGTGCAGCTGGACCTGACAACACGGACAACCAGCTGACGACCAGCAGATTACCAGCAGATGACCAGATTGGCTCAGCAAGTGTGCTCCCCCCAAATCCCTTCATTTCATTCTACATCAAGCATCTTCATTCAAATCCCCACCTGCCCAGGTACCCTGGTGGGAAATAAAGACTCGATAACTATAATACGCTTTCAGACATTGTGCCTTTGTGAAAACCGTTACTTGTTCCCTTTTGTTCAGCACACATGGTTCTATTTATGAAACGTAACAACTCGAAAAACATGTCTTTGTGCAGCACCATCCATCGGCTAAAAGCAACTGCGGAAAAGCAACTCGCCAAGACGTCCCAGAAACACCCGAAGCTCTGAGTCCTCAAACCCTGATGCGCGGCGGGGGCCGCTGCCACGCGAACCCCCGAAGCTCAACATCGAGGAGGACCGGCTACTCGTTCG